TTAGCCACTTTAATATTAGCCTTTGTGGTTTTGATCCCTATGGTGCTGGCCTCTCTGATGCTGGCCCCAGTGGCTTAGTTGGTCCTTGTATGGCTTCAGCCCCTGTGGTTCTTGCTTTAGTGGCTTCGCTGGCCTTTATGGCTTTAGCTCTTCTAGTGCTAGCCCTAATAGTGCTGGCCCGTGTAGTTGTGGCTCTAGTGGCTTTGTTGGCCCTTGTGGCTATGGCCCCTCTAGTGCTGGCTCCAATGGCTCTGGCCCCTCTGATGCTAGCCTTTGTGGCTGTGGCCCTAGTGGCTTTACTGGCCCTTATAGCTCCAGCTTTGTGGCCGAGTTGGCCTGTTATTGAATTAGACCCACCATTTATCCTTTGAGAGATGTTATAACAGTCTTTATTATTGATCTTCTAATCAAAGGGTACATTGGGAGACTACCCCCTAAATCCATCTATTATCTAAAGGTGCCAGCAAATTGGAGCTTGCTATTGTGATAGTCTAGATAGCATAGCAAAGATGTTCCTTAGCCCATCCTTTAGAGTTTGCAGCATTGCTCTTTGCCTCTTGTTAGCACGTACTTCACGTTTTGTGTGTACAACCACGTTCTCTGAGTCATAAGACTCAAGTCTATTCTTTCTAATAACATATGATCCTTACGTATCGTAGGTATTCCATTCACACAAGTCCCACCAGGCGTGCCAAAAATTGTTAGACAAAAATAAAAAGGGGGTGTCACAAGGCATGCCATAGATGCGGGGTCTTAAAAAGATGTAAGAACCTGATTTCTAATCAAACATGGAGAACTCGAGCTCCCTTACCATAGTTCACCCGGATGTGAGAATGCGAAATGAAAAAAATTAATATAAATGCAAATGAGCAAAGATATATTGATTAAAGAAAGAGGTGGCGGGGTTATGCAAGCCATACAATGAAAAATAAAGACTAAAACTATATAATAAAAGATAAAATAAAATAAAGTAACAAACGCAGAGTTTGAGAATTTGATTGATAGTTTATTGATGCTAATGCTGATTGTTGAGAGAGAGCTCCTCTATTAATAGATGATTTTGACTTGATGCCTAAGCCCTATGATCGCCACTTTTTTTAAATTTAGAGAGCACTTCCTTCATTGTAGTTACTTATCATGAGTGGAGTGTGGATGACTTAGAGACTAAGACTTCATAAATATTTTCTTTAATTATTTTAAAACCAATTAAATTAAGTTGAGCCTAGACCTTTAAATTCAAAATTTAGGTGCAAACAGGACAAAAGGTGAGGATAAGCAAATTAACTATGTCCTCCCAAAGGTATATGCACATAATTCATTCACCTATGAGTATTTGCAACAAGATTGAGAAGTCATAGACTTTATTAATTAGGGGCACGAACAAACAATGTCCTAATTTGGATTGAAAGAAAAATATAGAGGGAAAACAATTTTTTTACTACGTTTAGAAAATTTTCTTCCTCATCCCTATTTTTTTCCTCAATTTTTCCTTCATTTAGACCAAGACTCAGTCAAATGAGATGCTCTTTGTCTATCAAAGGATCATGGAGGGCTAGGCTTTGAAGTTTGAACATCCAGCATCCATAGATCAGGCTTATGGGGATTTGGCTTCTCTCCTTTAACCTTCCCCTCCATTTCCTCTCCACTAACTAAAATGAAATCTGGAATTTGGATGGTCCACATTTAGCATTTTTATTTTTTATTTATATTTTGTATTTTATACTTATTAAAATTAAAATTAAAATTTTAATAAATTCACTTTATCATTAATATGGACAATATAGATTTAGCATGTCCAATTCAATTCAATTTTAATTTTTTTTATTTTTATAAATTGACTATCTAAATTTACTCTAAAAATTTTAGATTTAATATTAATTTTTTATAATTTTTATAAATTTTTTGTTTTGGTAAACATAAATTAAAAGTGAAGATAATCTCCAACTGAAACTTTTTAAAAAATATTTTTATATAAAAATATAAGTTAAAAAATTTAAATTTGAACCATTCAGAGTAAATTAAGATAATCAATTTATAAAATTTAGTATTAATTTTTAAACCTTCCAAATTAAATATGGACTATTTTGATGGGTGATAAAATAGTGTTATTAACAACTTTAATTTTAAATGTAATAAGTATAAAATATGAATATAAATAAAGAATAAAAAATTTAAATTTGAACCATTCAAATTTATTCTACACCAAATCTAAATGGTTCAGATTTTATTTTAGTTAGTAAAGAGGAATTGGAGAGAAAGATTAATGAAAAAAAGCCAAGTCCAGCTTATGAAGGCAAAATATTGTGAGAAAGTTGCTATCCAATGAACAAGGCCTCTAGGCTAGAGCCTACCATGCAAATTCTTGACATTCTTAATAGGGGGATTAAGGGAGACCATGATCTCTCAGGTTTTTATTTTATTTTATTATATTTTTTTTTGTTTTCGTATTGTGTAGATATTATATATTTTTGTTTTTCTAAAATTTATGACCTTCATTATAAAGTATTTCTACTTAGCTCATCGAAATCAAAAAGATGTGATAAGTTATTAACTTTACATGAAAATATAATAATTTTTTAAAAAAAATTAATATATAAGTCCTTAAAGTTTTACTTGATTTTGAATTAAGTCCTTACATTTTATTTTATTTTAACCATGACCTTTGTTTCATCAATTAAATATGTTAGCCCTTGATTGTTAAAATATTTTAATTTTTCCTCTTTAAAAATGGAATTAAGAACTTTTATATGTTTATTAAAAATTGTATAGTTTTAGAATTAATTACATAATTTTTATAATTTAAAATTTATATAATTAGGTTATCTTTTCTGAATAAATTTTATATATATAGAATTTTTATAAAAAATTAATAAAAATATAAATATTGTATCACATAAATTTTTTGGCTAAAACTATTAACCAAATTTTTTATAAATTTTAAGTGTTTCTATTTTGAAAAATTCAATTATTCTTTACTAATTTTAACCTTAAAGGACTAGCATATTTAATTGAACAAACTATAAAAACTTGATTAAAATCAAATAAATTGTAGAGACCTAATTCAAAATTAATAAAAACAAGAAGAACTTGCAAATTAATTTTTCCTAAATTTTTAAATTTACTCTTGTTTAAATGAAAATTTTTCATATTCACATCATATTCTCTATCATAATTAATGATTTTAAATAGGAATAATAGTAAAAAAAAGTAATAATTCATTAAGTGTTTTATATTAAGAACTATAAAATCTTTATAAAAAACACCCAATAATAAGGATTGAAAGAAGTGCCTTAATCTCAAACTCCTTAGCTAATGCTAGAGTTGAAGGGTATTTTTATTGTTGCTAAAACTGGAGATTCCAAGCCAATAAATGAGCCGATCTCTTAGCTTGCAAGATATCATGTAAAAATTTTAATCCTTTTTTCTTTGACAGATCATTCATTGACCATAAAAATCTGATGATTTTGTACATGATTTTTTTCTTTTGAATGACAACTAATACTTACATTAATTAATCAGAATACAAAGAATTCAAGTTTTCCTAAGCATTTTCATCATCATTCTCCAACTCTTGAAGAAGAGGTAAAACATGATCAAAGATATAAAAGCTAAGATCAAGATCATGGGAAAGTCTAGCTAAATAATCTGCATACAAATTGTCCTCCCAAAGCAAATGATTAAAATGAAGGTCCCAACTTCTGTGAGACTATCCTCGTAGCCTCTTTGAATAAGGCTCATAGCAGCTGTACAGTTCATGTTGAAGTTCACCTTTCTAAAGCCATAATTCCAGCATAATGTTAGTCCCTGTGTAATAGCTATAATCTCCGTGATAATAGGTGGGACGTTGACAATCTGGCTGCTGAAACCTCACAGACATGATTTGATATTAACTTTTTTGCATATTTTTTGGTGATCTTTGTATTTAAAAAAAAAAAGGAAATTTCCGTACATTTTTGGACCTAAAGGGTACCAAACGGGCCGTGGCAAATGTTTTATAATGTTTTATTTTATTTTTTAACCAAAATGTCGTTCATATTTCAAAGTTCGGAATTCGAACCCACCAATACCATGCATGTCCACATTATTAAAATTTGAAAATTTTCAACACTTATATCATCTGCACATAGATCGGCGTTCCCCTTATTCAACAATACTAAAAATAATAATGTTAATATTAATTAACCAATAACTGATTTAATTGGAAAATACCCTCTTATTTGATCAACTAATAACTCATTAATTTTTTACACTTTTATCTTTTTTTATACAAAAGTATTCATACATAATTAAAAGAATAAAATACACGTTTATATAACAAAATTTTAAAACATAAATAAAAATAAAAATATATATGCATGAATTATATTAGTAGTTTTAATGATGTTTAGACAATATATGTAAAAAAGAAATATTTTAACATAACATATATAACTTAACAGTGAACTAAAAATTAGCAAATGAAAATAAAACCTTACAAAATAGGTGGGATGTTTGTATTTTATAACTATATCAGGAGAAGTTCATCACTTTCAAAAACAAAAATATCCATAATTAAAGTAAAAAAATGAATGAAAATGAAATTTCAAAAATAAAAAGAATGTTTGTGTTTTATAACTATTTATAATAGAAAAAGTTCATATAAATTTCAAAAATACAAGAGGTGTATGTAATTAAGGAAAAAAACAAAGAGAAAGAGAGGGGATCACTCTAATTAAAAATATATTATTTTTAATTACAGCCCAATTAAACTATGTTTTGATCACATTCCCACCAATCAAGTATGAACTGCAAAATATGTTGATCGGTTGAGTTGTACTAACATTGATATAAACTACTATAGCTCATTAATTAATTGCTCCTTACCCATACCATGCTCGAAGTAGAACATTCAATAGGCCTCTTATGTAGCCTTTGCCCAAAGATAAAATCATGTTGGCAAACATTAATATACAAATTTTAGTCAATGAAAAGGAAATAAACAAACAGTTAGTATGTCATCCTTACTGGTCATCCTTTGAGACACGATAGTACTTTTCTGCGTGTTGGCGTTGACCAATTAGCCGAGCAAATCGTTCATCGTGAGGAATTACTATTAGCTGAAAGTTCTCCTGACCTTTCCTGTCCTCCATGATCCTGTATACAAGATATACTAACATGATTTTAGGCATAGTTACTAAGAATAATAATTTAGCATCAACCAGATAACCTGTTCACACCTCAGGAGAGCTGCAGCCAGACTTTCAGCATTGGGCTCATCCAAATTTGTTGTTGGTTCATCAAGTGCTAGAATTCCATAGTTAAGGCAAAACGTCTCGGCTAAAGCCACCCGTATGATAAGGGACGCAAGGACCTGGAACATAGAAATATGGTCGAATACAACAATTTCAGAAAATTACACTGATGTAACCGTAGGGTATGCTCAGACCTATAAGAGGAGGCTAGAAGGGAAACAAGGGGCAAGGGCAGAAATGAATAATCCAGCTGACCAAGACTCTTATCCTAAGGGTCTAGATTTTATGGAATAAGCCATGAAATTTCTAGGGTGGCTGGCTTTATGTTCAGCTTAGATGTTAGAGAGTCACCCTTTTGCTTGCTTAATATTTCATTATTGTTTTGTTTTACACTCAGACCATGTTTTGAAGTCAGATAACAGTGAGGAGAGTGCTAGTCTCTCGAGGACCAAGTGAGGGACCATATTTGCGTTGCTGTATTCTGTTTCATTTGCCTTGAAATCCGTTTCATGTATTAGGCAATAGGGTTTTGGCCAGAATCAGTGGTTTCCCTTTTCGTACACTGATTAAGTTCTCAGATTATCAACAGAAAAACCTCAGAATTTCCCTTTTATTCAGTCAATTCTTGCATTTAACTTCTGCAAAGAACTGATTGATAGAGCAGAGCTCTATCGCACACACTTCCCTTTTAACAAGTGAGGTATCAGACACAGTAATGCATTCAGTATTAATCAACCTTCTGACCAGCGCTACATCTTCCTCTCATTTCTAACTCTGCATCCCTAGTTTGCATGAGAACCTGCATGGAATTCAAAAGAAACAAGATATAAAAATTTCAACTTAAAAATTTGACAGTTGTCAAAGGGTTGAAAGATTTCGAACCTTGTAGCTGTAGGAACGGGTCGCAGTACCCTCAGAGTCTGAATGGATACTGATGTAGTCAATATTTTGTCCTCTATAAGTTTGCTGCCACAATTCCCTGATTATTTTGTTGATTTATTCCATTTTCATTGCGTGAAAGCGCATCAATGCCCTGAATCATATCATACGCAAATGCTCATGTTGTTGAGCAGTGGAAAGTGGAGGACTAAAATTGCCATTTAAATACAATATGCTGTCATGTATGTCATGTGGGAAAGTGGTAGACAAGATGAATAAACAATAATAACCACAGAAGCCAGTGCCAGTAAAGCAATGTGATGAACTGCACAAAAGGAAACATGTTTCACTTCCAACATGTTGAGGGGGAATAGTAATACATATGCACATACACATGTCAAGCAAAAATGAACTCACTTGATGAGCTTGCAAATGTCAAAACAAAGGGTAATATAATTAAAATAGTCATAAAACACAGCCATAGTTGCAAGACCATGATGACAGCCAGGTAAACAGATGATACAGGTGAGTCAGGAATACATTCGCTTGTTCAGAGGTCTTCACAGCAAAGTACAGGAAAGAGAACTTTGATTAGTGAAAGCCGATGGCATCTGATGAAGTGAGTAGAATTTTGAATTTAAACACATAACATGTTCAGGGCTCTTCCAGAGGCCTCCCAGCATGCTCGAGTGGATAATACAGACACGATGTTGTCATCACATTGATTAGTCTGTCATGGTTAAGATTCAATCGAACAACTGGAGGGGGTTCACTTGCCAGGAAAAGGACACCAGATATAGTCATGACTGACGTAGCATATATAACAAATGTAGCTCCACCATTGCAAATGCAATCAACAAGATTGTTTAAGATGGAAGAAAGTACCAGGTAGCCAGCAAGGAGACAGAAAATTGATTATGTTCAGAAAGAGAGGGACCTTGGAATTTTCTTTTGGGGGGCAATATTTCTTCTTCAATTAATTATGGCAGCAGGACTTGATAGAAAGTTTTTTTTATAACCTGATTTTGAATGTCTGCTTTATATTCATTAAAGGAACAAGTGTGGGGGCCAAGCAGGGGTCCCTGCCATCACCGGGTGAAATGTTGACGATGTGAATGTGAAGGCTTGTTAAAGTTGAGGCCAATCTAGATGCAACATGCAGACAACATAGCAAAATCCCACGGATTTAAAAAGCATTTTGGTTGGAATCTTTCAGTGGGAGTGGTGTTGATAAAACATTAAGAAATGTGTTGGATGACAAGGATTGATCCTCACAAATTAGTGTTCAAAATCTGTTAACAAGTAAGGTTTAAAAAACCAAATAGGCCATTGAACTGGAAAGGCACCAGTTTAAGGAAAATGTTAGACTACAATTAGACTAGTTAAGATTATAACAACAACAACAATAAGCCTTATCTCACAAGGTGAGATTGGCTACATGAATTAGATTGGTTATGATTAATTTAATATATTTTTAATTATACATACACAACTAATATTGAAATTTAATTAAATATTATTTTAGATTATAAATATATAGGATGAGATAAAAACAACTTTATTTTTTTTTATTATGAAATATCATTTTGATGACAAAAATCTCATAGATATTCAAAAACCACTCTAAATGCGTTTAATATTTATGAGCACATATTCATATACAGGAAACGACAAAGAATTAAGCATTTTTAAGAGGTATGTTAAAACTAAATTACAAGAAGGTATAAAAAATATAGATAAATAACCGAAAATGCCAAGATTAAACATATGCATTTATATTTAAAAATTAGGTTACTATATTGTGGGATTAAAAAAAATCAAGAATCAAGCAATTTCCCTGTTTCAATTTACCCTAAAGACAAGGAATTAATATACTGCAGTTTCCAATTTAAATTTTGCATGACCATAGCGTTTGGCGAGTTGCCTGTGCGAATGTTTTTGGCCAACCTAACGAGGAACGCGATGGTCGATAGGTTTGAGTTTGAAATCATGAACAGTTAGGATTGAGTGCAAGAATGAACAGTCAGAATTTATCATTCTAAAACAACGTAGTTTTGATTAATGATTTGTCCCCGTCCATCATACGAAATGAACGGCTAAAGCAAGGAGCATCAGGGAGGGAAGCACAAAAGGCACATTAGACACCCCTCTCCCACTTTCGTGAGCTCTTTTTCTTCTCCTTCTCCTTTTCTTTTTAAAAAGTGTTAAAGGTGAGTCTTTGGATTTTGGAGCTATATATTGATGTACAGGTGAAGGATTCTTACTGAATCGATGTACCTGGTAACTTTTTATTGGATACATTTTGATGATGATGAGGCTGAAGATGGATGGTGTTGAACTTTGGTGGGGGACGAAAAAAGGGTGGCTTGGTGATAAGCTGAAGGATTCATTATCATCTTCTTCTTCTTCTTAAGCTTGGTGTGTTAGTAGTTTCTTGATATCGTTATCAGTTCTTCCTGGCAACTGAGATGCTATTACTGACCAGCACCTGCACTTTGTCACAGTATTGTGAATTTGACAGTAATATATACATTAACGTATATCTTCTTAAACTTTTTCTTTTTTCAGAGCTGATTTGAATGTTATCAATGAAATTAATGTATACGTTATCAATGAAATATATACATCAGCGTGGTGGTCAGGGATAGCATCTCAGTTGCCTGGAAGGACTGATAATGATATCAAGAACTACTAGCATACACCAAGCTTAAGAAGAAGATGATGATAATGAATCCTTCAGCTCATTGCCAAGTCCCCCTTTTACTGATCCTCCAAAGTTCAACACCATATTCATCCTCATCATCAAAATGTATCCAATCAAAAGGTTAAATGACAAATTGACCCTTAAATTATATATTCATGAGTGTCTAGGACCCCAGTTAAACTCATTTTTGGTAATATTTCTTTCAACTTTTGATAATTTGATCCTCTATTGTTAACAAAAATTAACTTTAACTACTGTTAATTTATGAGAAAATGATAGAAAAGGACATAACAAATTCAAGGAGATGATCCAAAAATTATTGTAAAGGTTCCTAAAAATTACAAACAAGACAATTTTATTGGTCCATTTTTATAATTTTTGATATCTTTTTCTATCATTTTTAAGTCAACTAACAGTCAAAGTTAATTTTTGTTAACGGTAAGGGTCAGATTGTATTATTTTCAAAATTTGAAGGGAAACATTATATGAAAAATGAATTTAGAATCCCATACACTCTTGCCCTATAATTTAATGGCCAATTTGCTCTTTTATCCAAAAAAGAAATTGAAAAATGAACATATCCAAACACATACAAGCTCTAAAGAACAAGGCTTGAGAGAGTCTGAGCTCAAAAATTACAAACTAATATATATATTTGGTATGGTCATTAAAGACTTTTCAAAGGCAAATTCAAACTAAACTTTAATTTAATAAATTTTAATAAAAAAATAGAGATGAAGTTTAAAATACAAATATGAAATATTATATGCTTGCATTATCAATAAACATGTCGTGGAAAAAATTAGACAAAAAAAGTGAGAGAAAATTAGACAAAAAATGAGAGGAAGAAGAAGAAGTTAGCTTTTCACGAAAGATCCATATTCCACATCATGTGGGAAAAGAGAGTATGAGAGCGATGCGATAAACATTCAAACCACCTCTTGCGCCAGCTAGTCTAATATTTTCTTGTTAATTAATAAATAATAATTGTAATATATATAGTAATAGAATCATTTTAGAAAACCCATCATAAAATCCCTAATTCCTTTTTCCCCATTCAAATGAATAGACGAGCCTTAAAATTTCATTTTGCTTCATTCTTTCCAAAATCTATAGCTTCAATATTGTACTCGTGCTACATTGTCGTACGTGGTGTGTGGAAACCCCTCATGCTAACATGTTCTGCTTCAATGGCTGCCTTCTATTTCTTTTTCTTTTTTTCTTTTTAGCAAAGCCAAGAGAAAATTATATTTCAATAAAAAGATCGCAGCACAAGCTTTGCTTAAACTTTTATGTGTTGTGTAAAAGTGGGATGAGAAAACGAAGCAATACAAATTTTAAAAAAAAAAAAACTCTATCCCCATTACCAACACATAAGAAAATGAAATCAGTCAAGACACGTAGTTCAAAAGTTAAATAGTTAAAATTGTAGTAAAATTATTATTAAACTTGTTATAAATAAAATATTTTATTAATTAAACTAATTAATATACTAGTTTAATGATTTACCGGTTAAATCAAATGAGCTGACGTGAATTTTTATGCGATATAATATTAAGCATAAAAATTTAGGTCAGCTCATTTGATTCAACTAATAATGTATAAAAATTCAGGTCAACTCATTTGATTGAATCGATAAATCATTAAACTAGTGTATTAACTAGCAATGGTACTCTTATTTTACAGTAAAGGCAGCGGAGACCATTCACTGTCACATTTGCAAGGGTATTTCACTCTTTCAAACATTACTCAACTCATTTCTTCTGCTTCCCCATCACTCTCATTCGTTCTTCTTTTATCCTTTTTTCACCCTTCTCATATTTTTACTTTCTCCTCCTTTTTTTTAATCAGACATTTCTTTTCAAAATAATCTATATTTTTATTTTTCAATATATATGCTTGCTATTTGATACTTAATATTTTTAAAAGTAAAATTTTCTTTGACATTCAACTTATAAAAACAGAAATAAAAAATAAATCACATTATATAGCAAAACAAATACTCAATACATACTAATAAAAGTTAGATTTGACAGAAGAGACTAGTCCTTACAATATGGTGAACTAAAATTTGAATTCTGTAAGGAGAGGTAATCACATTTAGTACCTGATCGTATATCGAATAGAATTACCTCCAATAAGACTTGTACATAATCAAAAAAATTCAATACAGATGCCATAATTTTCTAAGATTACACAAGTTTAAATAGGTAATCCAAAAAATAGAGAGAATGACAGGTAAAGACCTCATAAGAAAATTAATATCAAATCAATAATTTTAGTACTGAAATATATAGGAGAAGGAGTATTGAATTTGGTAACTTTAGTTATAAAAAAATACTAATTTAATATTAATTTTTTTATAGGATTCTTCTTTGTCATTTCACCCAAAAAATACTCAAAATTATAAAGGTCAAGTTAAAAAACTCAAAATTCAAACTAAAAGTTTAAACAGGTAGTTCAATAAGCACAACTCAAATTCTTGACTCTACTTGAAATAATGCGAAGAGGTAAGAGATTACTCTCATGTATTAAAAGTTGTGGCTAAATTTTATTCTTTAAGACATTAAGTATTGAGTAGCATGCATGTATTTTTTTAAGGTAAAAAATATAGATTATTCTGAAAAGAAATGTTAGATAAAAAAGGAGAAAGTAAAAAAAAATGTGACAAGGGTAAAAAGAATGAAAGGAGAATGAATGAGAGAGTCAACAAGCAAAAAGAAATGAGTTGAATAATGTTTAAAAAAATAAAAGGGAGAATGATAAGTAAGAACCCATAAGAATATTAATATTAAATTAAGATTTTTTTAACATTAACATTTTTAAATTTAATATTCTTTCTCCTATATTTCAATATTAAAATTTTTAATTTAACTTTAATATTCTCACAAAGTCCTCACTTGTCACTCTCCCAAAATAAAATGCCTTGCATGTGATAGTGATTAGTCTCCGCTAACTTGAAACAAAGGCAAAAGGGGGTATTTTGATGCGGCTATGCTTATGCACCAAAGCTAAAGACAAAAGCAATATTCTAAAGTAATACTAAAAAAATAAAATAGTAGCTTCAAAGAGTTGCCTGATTGTTGGTTAAAAAAAAAAA